TGGCACCATTATTTTGTGCTCAGGAAACAAAGAACATGAAACATTATGTTCCGTAGAATGTTTTTCTTGTGCAGTTAAATGACTCAAATAAATGAGGCACAGATAAGGAATTTAGATTTAGGCAAGACTGTGATCCACGGTAGCTTTCATTAAATAAAAAATAAAATTGGTGGGGAGGGAAGAACATATCCTTGGAAAGAAATGTTGGGATCTATTGAGAATTATCAACAGACTCAAGAAAATTTACCTGAAATCTTCAAGGAGACTAAATGTGCCTTTCTACCTCGTGGTAGAACTTACTATGAACTTACTTCTGTAATTTTAACAAAGCAGGATCATATTTAAAAGACAGAAAATAACTTTCCAGAGTGCATGGTTGTCAGAAGATGGCCTGGGATCACTGTAAGACATTTATTTTCTTGAGTTAACAAAAACTGTGCTTTCCTGGCAAGTGTCCTTCATGGAGTATTTTCTTATTCCCCTTACCTGTGTGACTCTGGGGAAAAGCATTAACACAATGGAATTTAAAATATTCTGGACATCTTCCTGGCATTTTCTGTAGGAACAAGGCAAATTTTTTAATCAATGCCTTGAGGTCATGGCCTCGTTAAACACTATACTTTAAAAGTGTTATAGTTACAATTTTATCAATATACTAGTGTGTGTGTGTGTGTGTGTGTGTGTGTGTGTGTGTGTGTGTGTGTGTGCTGATACTGAGGCTTTTCTTTCAAGACTGGTACTCTACCACTTAGGCCATCACCCCACTTCCAGAGTTTTAGTGATTAATTGGAGATAAGGGTCTCAGTACTTTCTTCACAGGCTGGCTTTGAACCATGACCCTCAGATCTCAACCTCCTGAGTAGCTAGGATTACAAACATAAGCCACTTGCACCCTGCCGATATTATTCTTGACAGTGGAACAAGGATAAGTTTGTTAATTTCCACTTCCAATATCATCTTGAGAAGTTAGAGCTATGCTTTAGTAACCCAGAAATTGTGAACAACCTTTTTTGAGATCTGACATCTGTAAGTATCCATAAGCTTCCGTGGGGAACTTTTGTTTTTGATGATACAATTTTGTAGAATATTACACCCTACATAGTTTTTAACTTGATTACTGGACTTTCTGAAATTCTTCATTGCTTATTTTCATAAAGATAAGTGATGAAAGGAAAAAATAGCCTTTTAGAATCATCTTGAGAGTAAAAATGCAGATTTTCTCATGGCCATTGGCAAGGTAATAATAGTAGATAAAGTCAATAAGTAGAGTAGTATTTATATTACCAAGACTCACAGTGAATAGTAAATAACTGCCAAAGACTGATGAACTTCTAAAGCACATTCAAAAATCTAGACCTCCGGTTGTGATGTGCCTAAGTGATAGAATACAGGCCCAGTTATGCAAAAGGCCAGGGCCTCGGCAACATACTAAAATACAAAATTGAAAACAACAACAACAGCAAAGACTCAATGTAATCATATTTTATCCCAGACTCCCAAGGATTATATCAATGGGATCTCAAAGAATCTCAGGGTATCTGGGCACTGGTGGCTCACACCAATAATCCTAGCTATTCAAGAGTCTGATATTTGAGGATCACAGTTCAAAACCAGCCTATCAAGAAAGTCTGTGCATGTCTTGTCTCTAATTAACCACCAAAAGGCCAGAAGTGGAGTGGTATAGGGCTCAAGTGCTAGAGAAAAAAAAGCTCAGGGTGATCTTAAAAACTGTAGCAGAGAAATGGAGCTGCTAAGAGGTGGGGAGGGGCCTTAATTCCTAGTAAACAATTGTATTGTGTCTGTCTATACTATAGTTTAAACTCAGAGCCTTTATACTTTGGCTTTTTTACCACTTGAGCTTAAGCTCTTAATCACTTTACCTAAAACAAATCCATCAGATCCCTCAAACATCTGCTGAACATCTAAGTGGTTAACCACACAGGTAAGCACCCACACGGTAAGTACCATGTCAGGTACAGGATTAAGAACCAGGCATAAAATGAGGAATGAGACATAGGCTATGACCCCAAGGACACAACACTACAACAGAGAAGGTTTCATACAAATACCCTCACACAGAAAATACAATCATCAAAGTCTCAGGAATACAGAGAAAGCACAGAAGAGTCTGATTAGCTCTCACACAGTGCTGGGGAGTGAGACCTATGCACAAAAGAAAAACAAATCAAGAAGATTATGAAAGAAAGGTTTTCAGAGGCAGAGGATGAAAAGTAATCGTTGATGAGAAAAATAAAGTCACAAGGCTGGGCACTGGTGGTACACACCTGTAATCCTAGACACTCAGGAGGCTGAGGTCTAGGTTAAGGTTCAAAACCAGCCCTGGCAGGAAAGTCCATGAGATCCTTTTCTCCAATTAGCCAACAGAAAACTGGAAGTGGCTCTGTGGTTCAAAGTGGTAGTGTTAGCCTTGATCAAAAGACCTCAAGGACATCTCCCAGACTCTGAGTTCAAGCCCCATGAGGGACCAAAAATAAAAAAAAATTACAAGCAGGAGATAAAAGGAGAAAGTCAGGCTGTACATGGAATCCAATAGGAAAGATAACTGAGGATTGCTAACATGTGCCACTTGTCTTAGAAAAATGAAGAGAAATGAGACCTAAGGAAAAATTATCAACTGAAAGGTACATTATTTACATAATAATTCAGCTAAAATGTTCCTCCTTGTCTTTACTTAGAGGAATTATAAAAATTTACACCTGGGAAGGTCTTAGGACATTCAGCTCAATCTGTGATTATTTATATAAGCACACTGCATCTTAAGAGAAGTTCAATTTTAGTTGTTCAGTCAATATGGGACAGAAATATGTTGCTATCTTGTCTTCGTAATCCAGTATCTTATTTTGCAGCCATACATTGCACTCTAATCTTTGAGTAGACTCTGGAATTGTTGAGAAAGTAGATATCATTTGAACATCAATACTGCAATGAAATTTAAATTAATAAAGAAAAACGGCTGAGTATTTCCACAGCAGCTGTTTAAAGTCAATCTCTACAAATAGGCCCCTATATAGTTCATATGCAAATGTAAGATAATTTTCACCTGCTCACTGAGTGAATGACAGAGAAGGAACTTACTAGTGGAGAAAGGAGAGAGGGAGGGAGGAGAAAGAAGAGTGAGAAGGAGAGTGAGAAAAAGAGAGAGACAGGGAGACAGAGGCACAGAGACAGACAGAGACAGCAGGACTCGCAGAGAGGGAGAGACAGGCAGTGGGGAGAGAAAGACAGAGTTCGCAGAGAGAGACACCCAGAGAGACGATGAGAGAGCAGTGGAGACAGAGACAAGAGAGAGAAATAGAGAGGCTGAGACAAAGAAGGAGAGTGATTTACCAGAAAAGACAGAATGAGACAAAGAAAGGTAACAGAGAGAGACAGGGCGAGGAGATAAATATATCTAAATTTGTAGCATTTCATATAGGAAACGATTTTCCTTAAATGACATTAAAGAATTATTTTGAAATCTGGTCATCAAAGCCTTTCTCCATACCCTGCATTCTAGAGCAAAATGAAATAAACAGTAACTAGGAAGCATTCCCAAGAACAAAGCAAAATAAAGCAAAGCAAATAAAAAATGCTTCCTACTCCTACTCAAAAAAAGCCCAACCTTAAGGAAGACAAATGATTACCCTTCACAATAAAGAGAAGTGTTCATTTTACTGGGATGGAGGAAAGGCAGATCTATCACAAGCATGCCAGTTAATCCACGTTTCATTCTACGTGAGTTTTAAGAGAAATCTGTTTGGATTTATTGCTGTACACACTAGATCAACTTCTACATTGCCCCAACTTTCAATTTCAAATTTATTTGTCAATATAGTCACTAGAATGTATAATTTAAATGGGTACTTTCCAGAATGCTGAGTGTGCTATAAAAAGGATTTTATGAGACCTTTCTCATAGAAGTAAATTTTGTGTCAAGGCTCTTGCTATAAAGGAATAGAAAATGTAACCAATGTGTGCAACATGAGAAAAAAAGTGCTACCAATATCACTGATTCAATTGAATTTCCCTTGTTTTTATAGAGTATTGCATATAGCAAGGAATATACAATATGTATTGTCAAATATTATGCAATTTTTGTGCCATCCTGAGCTTGAACCCAGGGCCTGGGCATTGCCCCTTAGCTTTTTTGCTCAAGGGTAGCACTCTACCACTTGAGCCAAAGCCCCACTTTCGGCTTTTTGGTGATTAATTGGAGATGAGTCTCATGAACTTTCCTGCCTGGGTTGGCTTTAAACCACCACCCTCCTACCTCAGCCTTCTGAGTAGCTTGAATTACAGGCATGAGTTACTATTGCCCAGTAGTATCAAGCAATTATAAGAAAGGTTTTATTCTATTTTAAAACACACTCTTTTCTGCATTTGCTTAAATATAAATTTATATGTACACACATTTAATCAAACACCTCAGGATACAAAGCCTTTAAGATCTGTAAGCAGAAAGAAATGTTTTAAAGACAAATATATATTAAAACATCAGCCTTGGCATTAATTCACTGACCCATTTTGTTAGAGTAAAAATTGCTTCTGGGTTTCTACTTTCATTGAAACTGTAACAAAAGCCATTCAATTATATTTGTACAGAACTTTGAAGGCTATACTTCAAGTTGCACAACTGACACACTTTTCTCTAAAAAAATATAAACAAAACATAATGACAGGCAACTGAATTGTATATGGAACATTTTGAAAAAAGAAAATCCTGTTGCTTTTCTTGTATATAAATCAATTTGGATGTCTAATACTTCTTTGCATTTCCTTGTAAACATAGTTTTGGTTTTTTTACCCAAAGGGAAATATCTGAACACTTTAATGTATTAGCAAATGATAACTTCTTCAGTGAGCTGCATAGAAAAAAACACACCACTATATATTAAACATACTTTCAAAAGGCAGAAAAAACTTTTCTTTGCAAAGAAGAATGCAATACATGCTACATTCTCACCAGCAGGCATAGTGGAAGGTGGGTTCATTTCACTCACCTGTTTGGCTAAGTTGGGATGTGCTTCGACTTCTTCGAGAAACAATGGCCACCACTTTGGCACTCAGGCTGGATCTCCGTTTCTTCCCACCTGCTCCAACCGTACCCACAGCTGTGTCTGACTGGCTGCCATCATTGTGCTCCAGTGTGTACATCTCTCCACTCACACTGGTGCTCTTCGTGATGGCTCTTCCTGATGTCCCCATCCGTCTGCCTTGCATTTTGGGGGTAAATGAACTATATTTATAAAGTAAAAACATATATGCATCCATAAATTACAGGTCAGCAGAACTGAAACCTTAAACCTAATTTATTTTTCAAATAACCAGGCAGGGGTTTTTTTGGCAGGGGGGGAAATCAGTTCAGTAGTAATCCTCAGGCTACAAATGCTCAAAAATTTTATCATCACTCCCAAAATATTCATGGGGCAGAGTTTCAAACAATGACATTTCAATACTGACTAATGCATAAACTTTTTAAAGACAGCAAACAGAAATACAGAAATTCCATGGGCTAGTGTTACTTACCCGTGACCTTCTGGATTTTATATTTCCGTACAATATTTGCCCAAACTGACTAATGTGAGATTCCACACCAGATCAGTCCTTTCCTTTCTACTTGTCATTTTGAACTACAGAATAGACATAGGTTAATGTAGAATCTTCTAACAGTGGACATGACATTTAATTTGCAAGTCAGACTAAATCTTGGTAATATTAAAAATAGTGAAGCAGAAGGCACTGTTAGGATATAAAACTTGTGTTCACATATATAATGTTTCTGTTAAAAGGGAGTTCAGAGAGACAGGGGTGGGGTGAGCAATGCCTAAACCTACAGAAAAGGCAAAGCTGTTTCTGGGTTCTTCTACGTAATGTGGATTGAAAATTGAGATTTTCATTTGATGGAAATACTTGGGAATTTTTATTTGTTTAAGAGTCACACCAAAATTCCAATAACGATATACTCATTCTTTCAATTCATTTTAATCAGCTTTTATCATCTCAAAGTTTTAAGACATTCACAAATCTGATAAATTTGCTTTGAATTGTATGTAGACTTTTTCTAAAATATCAATGAGTAATAAATATGATGAACCTAAAATTAATTCCTATGAGATATATAATTTTAACCCCAGCAGACTTTCTTTTCTGATAAATACTGCAATCATTTCTTCTGTGGCCTCACTAATTTACTTAAATACACTACACTACACTTACTGTCCTATCTTCCTTAAATCTATTCTTCCTCTCTGCTTGTTGTATAAATTCATTTGCAGAATGTTCCTAGTAGGTCAACAGGAATGCCAAGTCTTGGTTGATAGTCAAAATGTTCATCCTCAACCAAATACTTGTTACAGGGAAATTGGTTGCTTTTCACTTCTCATCAATTCTTTTAGCAGACTCCTCATGATAGCTGTTGAAAACATCTCTTTTGATTGTTTTACTTTTCCCTTTATTGCTAAACATGGACTGATTATCATATACTTATTTTCTATCTATTACTTCCCTAAAAGAAGAATCCATGACAATCTCACCTTACTCTGAAAGTCTACTATGACCTTTGGAACAATGTTGCTTATGACGGTTATGAAGATACTTGAAAGCACAGGGAGATATCTTTATCATATTCCCATTGTGAAAACTTGGGATGAGCCTAGAAGATTGAGACCAAGTCCTCCTGTTTACTTAACTATGGTAATGAAATGCTGATAAGAAAATCTTCTGTGAAAAAACAGCTTTTTGACTCTGTGTTTAGGAGAAGATCATAAAGGTTCAATAGCTGTGTGCATATGATCATACAAAAGGATAGTTATCGAAATGAACTCCAAGAAATGGAAAAAAGAGGTTTTTGTTTTCTGGGTTCTTTCCCCCTTATCACTGTTTTTGATTTCTGTACTTTTTGTCTTGTATGTAAGTTTTATCTGTTTCGGGGAGAGTAAGGGTAAGCACAGAAATGGTGGGAAAAGGGTGAACTAATGCAGCAGTGATGCTCATTAGACACTATGTTGAAATAAACTATACAACTCATGGGGTCGGGGGTTGGGAGGGAAAACACTAGGAGAAAACGAGGGAAGAGGTGATACTGTTCAAAAAGAAATGCACTCATTACCTGACTTACATACTGTACCCTTCTGTACATCACCTTTACAATAAAAAGAAATCTTAAAAAATAAATCTGTGAAGAAATTTAAGATATTAATTTTTTCTCAAAAAACTATTTATTTGGGTGAATGCTTAAAATCATTTTATATGATGTGTATCCCTCCTTAAAGGACAGGATACTGCAATGTGGAATGATGATCATTGAAAACAAATTAAGGTTATTTTCAATCATTCTGTTCACCTATTGGCCTAATCAGTCAAATTAATCGTTTCAGGTAAAAGTTTTAGTACAAATATGCCTTTGACTGCCTTGGCCCAGTTTTTTTGTTTGTATCTTTCTTTCTTAGCTCTGCTTCTGTTGCAAAACAACAACCACCTCTACTCATTTGCATATGCCTAAGTTACTTAAGATGTATCTTAAAGCTTTATGATTTATAAAGCTGTTTATACAATGCTTGACAAGAAATGTACTCATTACCTTGCTCATGTGATGGTAACCCCTCTGGACAGTATTTTCACAATAAAAAAACTTATTAAAAATAAATAAAGCTATTTATAGTCCCTTTCCCTTCCCATTGTGATAATTATCTCCAAGCCTTTTATTTGCTATTTGTACTATTAATTTTGAGACTTGGATGTTATATATAAACAAGCATCTTATGCACCACCAAATTAGTACTATTCCTATTGCTGAATGACTTCATTTCTGGGTAGAAGTTGAAAAAGTGATCCATCTGTATACAATCAGCCTTGATAAACAACCAAGTTTTAAACTCAAGCAAATGAAACACTCACCTCTTGAGTCCATGTTCTTCTAGCTAGTATTTTTTTTCTACAAGTTCTCCTTAAAGTGTTTTCTAGGTACTCCCACCCCTCTTCTTTCTGAACTAATCTGAGTCAAGTTAGGAGTCTTTACTCCTTCACTAAAACTGCTTTAAAAATAAAGTTACTAATTCAGTAAATTCACTAATTCAGTCACCATGTCATATTTTTATCCATCTAGAATATATGGTCCAGTTTGAATTTATCTTAATGTATTATTGCAGCCTTTTTCTTTCTAAAATGATTATATCCATTTGTGTATATAATTATATGAGTTTTTCTGCTCACTCTTAGAACTAGCTCCTCATTCTGCTGATCCTCTAATGAGATAGTTGAAAAGATGCCATGCATTTCTTTCTGGTAATTATGCCTTTATTTTTAGAAGTATGTGTTGATAGTGTGTCACCAAATCATCTTTAAAAGTGACACCAAACAATGTCCAAATGGAATACTTATGATATTTGGAATAATTAAGCTAATATGTTAAAGAAAGGCCCTTAATAGGCTCTCTCAGTCCAGACCTGCCTTACCTCAGCTACTAGACACAAGAGGCAAGAGAATAGTCTTGCTTTTTTTTTTTTTTTTTGGTGCCAGTACTGGGGCTCAAGGCTCAAGGCTAGTACTCTACCAGTTAAAGTACAGCTCCACTTTGGACTTTTTTGTAGTTAACCAGAGATAAGAGTCTCATAGACTTTTCTGCCCTGACTGGCTTCAAATTGTGATCTCAGCCTCCTGAGTAGCTAAGTGTTATAGTTGTAAGCCCACTAGTGCCAGGCTTTTTCTTTTTTTTCTAACTATAGTTTTCAAATGTGTGTTTTTGTTCTGTTTTGTTTTGTTTGTTTCTAGTCCTGCTTCTATGGGGAAATTAGCTCTGATATATGTATTTTTTTAAACTGTGACTAATCATACATTCCTAATGACAGGAAATCTATCCAATGAAGCTTATTAGACAGAAGACATCAAAGATAGTATATTAATTTTGGTGGCAATTGGTAGGAAATGTGGTTTGTTAAGTTGTTCTGTATGTATATTTGTTTACATACTACTAAAAACAGATAACACTTAAGAAACTGGTACACACAACAACAAAATATATAATTAGGTTTCCATGTTGATTTAGGTTTCCAGGTTGATTTTGGCATGATGGAAGAAAGGTAAAACTTTAGTTTTTAGTTCTTTTTTATTTTTATTCTATTTGTGTCAGTACTGGGGCTTGCACTAAGGGATTGGTCACTGTCCCTAAGCTTCTTTGTTCAAGACCAGCATTCTACCACTTGAGCCACATTCTACCACAGAGCTCCACTTCTGACTTTTTGTTGGTTAACTGGGGGTAAGAGCCTCAGGGGCTTTCATGCCCAGGCTGGCTCTGAACTGCAATAATCAGGACTCAGTCCCCTGTGTAGCTAGGATTATGGGTGTGGGTCTGTGGTGCTTAGCTAGTTTCTAGTTCTCTTTACTGAAAAAGTTTTCTCAGTGGATCATAAAACATCTCTTACTTTATGTGTACTCAAGAGACAGCCATGAAAGGGGACAGAATTTGAAGGCAAAGATGTCTTACATTTGGTAGAACTCCTTTTTTGACTGGTCTACATAAAGCAATAAGTACCTCAATGATTCTAACATAAACTGCTAAGGTATCCCCAGACATGAAAGAAGTTGAACTCCCAATACACTGAAGAGGTTAATTTTAAGGGAATTTTTAAAAGAAGTTATTAAGTGGGGATATCAAATTGGTGCAATGACTCTGGCTGAACAGCTATATTAAAAATATAATTTCACTTTATGTGTACAAGTGTAGTTTCACTGGGGATAGGGGAGAACCAGAAATACCAAAAAGTGATGTTGAGGATGTGGAAAAATTGTAACATTATTGGTGGAAAGGCCAAATGATGTGGTGCATCAGAAAAGTTTGATAGTTCTGTTAAATTTATAGTTTAAAATAGTTTCTATATGACTCAGTGTTTCATTCAAACTTTAAGCATGTTATTCCTTAATCTAATAATTTCATTCCTACATATAAACTCAAGAAAAAAATGTATTTCCCATAAACACTTGCACATGAACATTCACATGAATAATAATTAACTGGGAACAACTCAAATAATATCTGTTGATGAATTAAAATTAAACTATACAATGGGATGTGATCAATCATAAATAAGAATCAAATATGGATTTGTGCTATAATGTAGATGAAGTAAAAAATAGACTATGTAAGGAAGCCAGAAATACAATACAATATCATATACACGGAATTTAAAAGTTAAACCCACAAAGGTGAAATGTAGATCTATGGCTAGAAAACAGGACTGA